ACCCCTATATTTATTGATTTTTAGGTTTAAAAACATAGATATAATTCTATTTATTTTTATTTATTTCTATTTATTTAAAAATTAGAAATCAGAATTTATATTAATATTAGAAAATAAAATATATATTTAAAAATACATATATATTTATACATGTACATAGCTACAAACATATTTCTAAATAAGATATTTAAAAAATAAATAATTATATGTATATGAATTTAAGATATCTTTTTTAAAAACATTATAATTTTAAAGCCATTAAAGGCATGGCTATAAAACAAATACCAAGGCTTGAAGGAGTAGAAACATAATTTCTTAAGATGTTTTGGATTAAAATAGATCAAGACTTTACACACATGATCAACAAAATAAGATAAATAGGAGTATTTCTACCACAAATTGTTAGAATTAATATTTTTTTTACTTCACAAATAAAGAAATAAATCTCATTTAGACAACTAGAGATCGATGTTTTTTTTTTATCACAATATATTAGGTCAAATGCGCTTAATAAGGCTCCAACTAATGTTTATAGAAGCTACAAGTTTCAAAAACAAAAGAAAAAAAAAAAGAAAAAAAAGAAGAATAAAAACCATCCAAATTCATCTTACATGATATGTTAGATATGCAAGAAACCAGTAATTGATAAAAATATATATATATATATATATATAGAGAGAGAGAGAGAGAGAGAGAGAGAAATATACTAAAAATATACTTTAAAAAGTCTATGACACAATGGCATAGATTGTTTTTTTACAAATTATAAAAAATATAGGACTTTATTTTTAAATCATAGGCTTGATTAAAATGTTATTTTATTGAATTGAAGAAAATTTTAATACTAATTACAGATTAATAAAATGCTTTATGAATTAATTAGAAATAAAACAATGATGTCTTTTGGTTCCATAATCTTCTTTCATTGTTATTGAAGTTTTTAACATAATTTTACAAGTTATAATCCAAGAAACAAAAATCTACAAAATCAAACTTCAAAATTAGGAGTTTAAGAAAATTATAAGTTAATATGTTGATGATTTAAATCTAATTATAAAAATGAATGAAAACATATGAAAAATAAAATATTTTTTTAAACCAATTAATCTAATCTATTGACTAGAAATAAACTAGAAACAAATTGGTTAAATTAAGAAAGTAAAAAAGTAAAAAAACCAAGACCAGATTGAGTACCAAATCTTTTTTTTTTTTTTTTTTTATAGTGAATTAGTAATCCACAAACAAGATGGAAACTTTGAAACCTTTTAATATAAAATTGTAACTAAATTATAATAAAATGTTAAATTTTTTGTTCCAAAAAAAAAATCTTTAAATTTTAGATATTAATACACTCTAAAAATATTAAACCATAGTAACAAACACATCTATATATGTTTGAAATAAATAAACAAACACATACTACATAAACTAACACATACTACAAAAGAGTTGTACATAGTAAACTCTTTTGCACCTTTTATAGGGGTTAGGATTTGGGATGCTTTTGTTTCATGTTCACTTCTCTAACCAAATAGCACACACAATATTTGTCAATTTTGTTTGCTTGTTTGTTTGTTTTTTTTTTAAAGTCAAATTTTCAAATCATAATTATAATGTAGAACCACATTCTGAGATCCCTGTTCAGTCGCATGCAAAAGTGTTCGTTGAGGTTTCTAAATCCCATATCATCCAGTCGAATGAAGACAAGCATCAAATGTGGCATTGAGTGCGTTTACTTACGACACCGAAAAAGAGCACTTTTTTGTGTTTTCATGCAACTCCGGCGAGCCTACCAAGCACACGGAATTCCACTGTGGGCGTCAACAGCAGCAATGCAAGCAAAGGGGAACTCAAGCTGCTGCTGCACCACTAAGTCCACACACAGTTTTTCCATCGCCATCCCCATCCGCATCATTGCAAGACCAGTTTTGTCTTTGGGTCCCTTATTTCCTCTATCACTTGGATCCAGAAGCTGGATTGAGGAACTAGCACTGCATCGCTTTAAGCCATTCATTTAAGTCACGTGATGAGCGATCCGGCCCCTCCTGAACCAGTACCAGTCTTTACCATCGATTGTTCAATCTCGTCGGTCGTACTGTCTTCTGAACTTTATAGAATTGCTTCAACAGTTGCAGCACCTGAATGTTTGCCATATCAAGCCAAGTGAAATAGCGTTCCGGGAATCAGCTGGAAATCAGAGACGCTTTTTCCTAGTGGGCAAGGGCGGGTATTCCTCCGAGGTGGTGGGACCATCGGAGCACTGTTGTGTAGATAGCTCTACTTCAGTGGTTCGAAAATTCTAGCTGGACAGTCACCGCATTGTCCGAGCAAAAGAGGAATTGGCAGTTTTGAAGTGAGCATGTGAGGATCAGAGCATGGATTAACTATTCTCTCCGCTTTGGAAGAGTTTAATAAACCTGGCTTCGGCATGTGAATGCTTCGCCGACTGTGATGATATTGATCATGGATCGGAATGCCGAATTCTGTTGTGAGAAGGAATGTTGGGTGGTATTTACACACACCTGAAAGAGATCATGTGGGGGGAAGGGTTGGAATAATTTGGATCAAAGCTTGCAGTGGATCATGGATCGCCGTGAATCCGCTATTTGTCATCTTCGTCGGCCGAAAGAAATTGGTTTGGAGATTTGCTTGAAATTAAAGTTTTGAGTTTCCTAAATGTATAGAAATGTAGTTTTTAAAAATCCATCATTCATGGTTTAGAGTGGTTTAAATTCTGGTTTGGATTGAGCATAAATAAATAAATAAAAATACACTCTTATTTTAACCTTGTAATTTTTTTTTTTATTTAGGCTTGCAGAAACCATAATTTTTTTTAAAAGTATGGTGGACTGGACTGAACTCACTGTATCTTCACTCAATAATCCTGTCTTGGTCAAGCTTTGTACTGGTTACTTTCTTGCAATAAAAGTATATTTCATTTGTGCCACACAAAAAAATAAAAAAACATTTTAGTAAACGTTGCAGTAAAGTATGACTTAAGCTTGCAGATGTGTAGTCTATTCTTCACAGACTACACGTGATGCCAACTCTCTAAAGTTTAATTTAAGCCCATGATCTAGTTTTTCACAGTGAGTGGACACAGATGAAGACATCTGTAATCTAAATTTGATTTCTAACTGAAGGAATATGCAGTGTTAACAGAGTAAATATATAAATACAATAAACATGAGATATGTTCAGAATCTCGTAGTGGTCGTAAGTGCAGTAGAACTGTGTGTCGAACAGTTCACTGACATGATTTTTGTGTCACTTTTGTGGGAAGGTGTGGGACCTTGCAGACTAGCATTCTAGCATTAAAAGGAAACTCGCTGTGCATTGCCAGGAACCTGGCGTTGCCATCAATCGCACGAGCGGTAACGCAACTAGAACAGCATTGACTTCGGCGTCACTTGATGTGATCATCATCTGCGGGTGAGAGGTTTTAAATGTAGAACTTGAAAAGCGCCTTCAGGTACATGTTCATGTGGGTCACCTGCCTCACATCCACTAAATTCTAAAGTTCCGGTGGAACGTAATAACAAGGCTGTGAACAGGACAGTGGTCTATGTCACCGGCGAAGCTTGTCAAGCAACCACGCCGCGAATTGGAACTTTTTAAAAAAAGTGACCCCACCGCAACTAGAATTGCAGTCGGAAATCCTCCAGTTCGCATGCCGTTGACCCAAGGGCCGAAAAACGATGATCTGATGTAGCCACTTCAACATGCGTCCTTTATCAGATACAGAAAGGTGTTACGTTCGACTGCGAAGGCTGATTTGGTGGTTTCGCAACCATCTGCCTGCACACAGGAGTGCAACTGTAGAACGGGTGGTGCGATCTTTAATATTAGAAAAATTGACAAGATAAAGATGGCGCTTGGGAAGAGTGGGGATAAGGGCGTTCGTGAAGGGGGACCACGACCCTGTACGAGTCTGTACATCTGTACCGGCCAAATCACGCATCTACGCATGCTTGAAGTGCGGTGCACCACATCACACCACTCATAGACTTGAAGACTTTGGAAAGATTCGTCGAGTCCAGAGAGTTGTCTCCGAGCAATCTCGGCAGAACCCAAGTCCAAAGGTCTCTGGAATCTTCGCAATGTTTCTGTCCACCAGTATCTGGCATTCAGGTGAGATTCAAGCTGGTTTCTGTAGCTAGGTTATCGATTAAATCACACCAGCCTCACCTTGAATACAAGTTTTTTTGTCTGACGAACCTGGACCATATCTTCCCGATAGAGATCAACCAGGTGAATGAACCTCCTGATAGTTTGAGAAGATTCGAGTTTAGTTACAGATGGACGTTTCGGAACGACCACCGAAATCACTTTCACGAAGGTTTTTTATGCTGTGTAAGACGAAGGCCACATCTAGAATAAAAGCACTACCTACATACACATTGCACAAAGTTTGTTCTGTTGGCCTATTCTTCTCATTTCTACCCCGGACAATAGCTGCTGCTGCTGCTCGTAGTTCTCATCCACGGTAATTTATCTGTCGCTCAATGCCGCTGTGTGTGGACGCATTCGGCACCCACCAACTCACCCAAAGATACCTGCCTTGTTGGCGGATCCAAGATTGTGGGAAGACGTTGCCCACATTTAGGACCCGGGATCTTAAGGGTCGTCGGAGGGCTGTAGGGTAGGGCGTCGTCACAAGTCAAGATCCCTCACAATTGCAGCTTGCGTAGCCCCCGCGACTGATTTTGTCCTTTCATTTTGGGTTTTTTGGTTCCCCCCTCCCGCGCGGAGGGCTTTCTTTTCGTTGGACGGTCTGTGCAACACAAAGTCTTCCCACTTATGACAAAAAACTGACGGGTGATGCTTCGGTGCGAAAGGATGCAGCATCTATTAGCATCATCCCTAATTTAGGTGTACCGTTCTCTCAGAAGTTCTTTTACCTGCTTTTTTTCTGCAACTTGCCGCTGGCACAAGAAAGCCCCGTGACCTGAGCAAAATTCTCGGAGGCAACGAGGACCGTCCCTTGGACACGAGCCTCAGGCTTTATTTACAAGGTCTCAGAAGTCTTAAATCCCCGACCTCCAACTGTGCAGCACCATCTCCCATAGTTGCGTATCGATCTGTTGTTTCCCACTATTTTTTCTGGGTCCTCATCTTCTATGATGTGTGCAGAAGCAGTCATTTGAGGTGCCTGGAGAACTGTAAGGGACCATTGCTACCCACTCTTTGTGTCGCACAGACTAATTGCTGAAATATTAATGTTTTCATAAGTTTGTACAGTGTAAAAAGAACTCTGTGGACATACGTCTTTGACACTTCGAGCTGCTGGTTTTGTGTGCCAGGTTCAAGCAGGAAGAGCTTGCAAAGAAGACTAGTGCATAAAGCAGTCAGGAAAGCGGATCGACACAATGGCAGACGCGACGCCAGCGATTCCATCTGCATATGTGTCGACAGGGGGCGTGAACCCCGACTGGTTGAACAAAGGCGACAATTCATGGCAGTTGACGGCCGCCACCTTTGTGGGCATGCAAACGGTGCCAGCACTAGTGATCCTCTACGGGAGTATCGTGAAGAAGAAATGGGCGGTGAACTCTGCTTTCATGGCTTTCTATGCCTTCGCCGCCGTGTTATTGTGCTGGGTGGGATGGGCATACAAGATGTCATTCGGAGAGAAGCTGATTCCCATCTGGGGCAAAGCGGGGACCACGCTCAACTTCAATTACCTTCTCTCGCAGGCAGAGTTGCCTGCAAGTGCCACATACTACAGTGACGGATCGGTGCAAGTTGCAACTCTGATGCCGTGGTATCCGATGGCGACGCAGGTCTACTTCCAGTTCGTTTTTGCGGCAATTACCCTGGTGCTTTTGGCAGGATCTGTCCTGGGGAGAATGAGCTTCCGGGCGTGGATGGTGTTTGTCCCGTTGTGGTTGACGTGCTCATACACAGTCGGCTGCTTCAGCGTCTGGGGTGGCGGATTCTTGTGGCAATGGGGGATTATTGACTACGCCGGCGGTTATGTCATTCATCTCTCATCTGGTGTTGCTGGCTTCACAGCCGCTTATTGGGTGAGAACCAACTCGTTGTTTTTGTTTAATTAGCCGAGGATACGCCATATCGACGTGGTGATTTTCCAAGAATCATTTTCCGGGTTCTAATTTGCTGCAAAATTACTTGCTAAGCATGTGATGAATATGTAAATATATATATATATATATATATATATATATTTGTTCGCTAAGCAATATTCATTGCTTGCGCCTTCCAATGCTGAGCTTGTTTCTCTTTTTTGAAGGTTGGACCACGACTGTCAAAGGATCGCGAGAGGTTTCCTCCTAACAACGTCTTGCTCATGTTGGCTGGGGCCGGTCTTCTATGGATGGGATGGGCGGGATTCAACGGCGGTGCTGCTCTTTCCGCCAACTTGGTTGCATCCATTGCCATCATCAACACCCACGTTTGCGCTGCGACCAGCGTGCTGGTGTGGACTTTCCTGGACGTGGTTGTCTTTGGGAAACCTTCCGTGATCGGTGCAGTGCAGGGAATGATCACGGGTCTTGTCGTCATCACCCCTGGTGCAGGTAATTTAGTATCTGCAATTATTAGTTAACTGTGTCTAATGATTTATCCTGTACGGAAACTGAATTGATCGCCACATCAAGCTTTTGCAGCTCTGACTCATTTCCACTGAACTTTTCTTTTGTTTTGCAGGACTTGTCCAAGGATGGGCGGCGCTCGTCATGGGAGTCTTTGCAGGATCAATCCCCTGGTTTACAATGATGGTGGTTCACAAGAGATCCAGCCTGCTTCAAAAGGTGGACGATACGTTAGGCGTGTTTCACACTCATGCAGTTGCGGGCTTCTTGGGTGGAATTCTGTCTGGATGCCTTGCAGAGCCAACGCTATGCAACTATTTCCTTCCGGTCCTGGATTTGCAGGGCGCCTTCTATGGAGGAATCGGGGGAAAGCAGCTGGGCAAGCAAATCGCGGGTGCTCTCTTTATCATAGGATGGAATGTCGTGGTGACGAGCATAATCCTCAACGTCATCAAGTTGGTGATCCCGCTGCGCATGGATGACGAGCACCTTCTCATTGGTGACGACGCTGAGCACGGGGAGGAAGCTTATGCATTGTGGGGCGATGGTGAGAAGTATGACTCTTCAGTACATGGTGCTTCAGAGATGGACATCACCAACCACGGTTCAAAGAATAATGATAAGCGGCCCACCGTCGCTCTCTAGATTCGTTTAGTTTCACAACCTTGGGATTTAATTTGAAGATAGAAAAATAATGCAAAAAATATATTTCATACGTCATTTATTGCAGCTCTCGTATGTTTGTAGACCAGAAAAGAATTTATCATTTGTGTCTGAGGCTGATGCAGCGTGCAGTTTGACCTTGATTGCAAGGGGGTAGTGTATTCAATGATTGTACAATGAGGGTGAATAATGCAAGCAATGTACAAAAGCAGTGGGTTTATATGCAATTTGTCAACTCTGACATCGTTTGCGTTAGTGCAGCAGTTGTTTGGAAGCGCCTTAGATGGTTACATATCAGCTGAATACCACATGATAGTTATGAATATTGTCGAAGTACTGCTGATCTATCAGAAACAAATAGAGATGGACTGGTGATAATTGGTTCCCAGAAACTCATTTGCCCGGATGCACGACTTCAGTCAGTGGTGCCGTAGCGTAGGTTCCAGAATGAAAAGAATCAACACTTGGGAAACTGCAATGCTGTCAGTCAACTTGCTTTTAAAAAGTTCAGAAACAATAAATTGGAGATTGAATGGTCAAGTTGGACTGGACACTTCAAAATAGCATTATTCCAACAGGAATTCTGTGAAGTTTTGCCTAACGTTTTGTGAAGTTTTGTCGGTCTTGACATGTTTTTGAATTGACTAATACATTGTTTTCCATGCTTTCCGGGTGTGAGTTGTCAAAGAGATTCATTTCTTACGGCACGTACATGGGAATTTACTGGGATTCATTCGCATACTGGAATTTACTGGCATGCATTCAGGATTCCAGTCTGTCCGTCTGAGGTACTGGTGGTTGAATATTCCCAGGAATGTCGGATACGAATTCTGCTGCCGGTATAATTTGATCCAAACTATGGAATCGTTGTGAAATTTACCTAACTTCGGCCTCTGTAGACAATCCAAACGGCCATATTGACAATTTTAGCAAGAGATCTCAAAAATCTGCGAAAGTGCCCAAGATATGGATGATTTTCTGAGCAAACATATGGAATGGGCCGTGATTGCAGTGATTCTCAGAGGTCATGGGTTTAGGTGAAAAGGAGGATATATTTGCACCAAGTTTCAGAAGTCCTGGAGTTGGAGTAAACGTTGCAAAGAATACATTGGTTATGCTCTTGGCTTGAATCACAAACGAAAAAAAAAATCTACATTTACTATTACAACGACTGTAACTGAAAGAGATTCAACATATCTTTAACCACTTTAATAAGTTGCTCATAAGTCACTTCAGTAAGTTACCCATCAAACCTCCAACATCTGTTTCCTTTTATGGTTTCAGCGTCATAATTTAGGTGAGCAAACTGGCTCACAGTTTGCGAGAGATAGTCATTTCGCAGCGTTTGTCATTCCAACCACATAATTGGCAACCTAATTTGTATGTTCATTCTAGCGTGCAACAATCCTAAATTGATTGCAGTAGTGTGAGAAAGGGGTTCCGATTGAACGGGATATTCAATGAAGCCAGTGAAGGGCAATGTGCCCTGTGGTCTTATTTGGTGAGTGCAATGCCAAACCCACGGAAATCGTTGTCTTCGTACTTGTGACAGATTTTTGACAATCAAAGTTCTGGGTGCTTACCTACACTATGTGGATCCGTCATGGACTGTAGAGACTTTTGTTGCAGCGAAATGAGTGACAAAATCCCAAAATGACAAGGCCAAAATAAAAACTAATTTGACTGGTGAACACAATGAAACTAAATCTACGGAACCAGATTAACTTGATGTTTTTTCCTGCTTGAAAACTCTTTCCCTCATAGTTACCAGGACTAAAACCACATACTCATGCAGGTTTGAAAAATGTTCAGCTACAACGCAGAATTACTCAAAACTCATCAAAATGCATACTCCAGTTACTTTGTAAACTAACCAAGACCACACAGCATGAGATTGGTGTAAACTGTCCTCTTCGGTAGACCCACACGTTGTCTAAATATTGTTCTTTGGAAAGGTTGTCAACTCGGACGCTAAAAATATTATAGACAGCATGAAAATAGAAGCACGGCCTATTTATAGAAACAATGGCTGAAACTAGCATAAGAATTCTGTTAGCATAAAAACTAGATAAACCAGGTACAGTAGATAAAATCTTATATTAGAAAAGTAAAGATAAGGCTAAGGTGGAAACTCAGAGACACCGTCAATACTGACAGTGAATGTGGTAGTTTGAAAGAACTTATATACCTCGTTGAATCTGAGTAAAGCATGTCAGTTGTTTCTCATTTGTCTAGTATTATTTTTCATCAGTAATGAATGACAATTGATTTCAACATGGTATCAGAGTGTCAAAGAAGAGCCTGATTTTAAGAGGTATGTTTGTATTCTCAAGTTAACTTTTGTTTGAATCAATATTTTTTTATTTATTGCATTCACTACATTCTAAACTGGATAAGGGACTGTCTAAGTTTCTAAAAGATATACCATATGTACAATGCCAAAAGATTCTATATTACTAGAAGATGTCAAGCTCACTAGAAGGTGTCAAGCTTACTAGATTTGAAAACTTTCATTGTAAAAAATATATGCTCACTTGTGAGGCTATGATTTTTACTAAAAGACATTAGTAATAGATTCTCTAAAGAAAAGAAACTTGAAGATCAAGATATTGATGATAAACGTGAAATGCTATAATATATTATGATTATGTTGATTAAACTTGGAGTAGTATAGAATGTGACTATATTCAAGGATCCAAAACTTCTATAGAAAACATTAAAGGCTACTCTCAAGATTTCATCTAGTAGTAAAAAATTTGAATAGAAAAACTTGCTATCTCAGATCACTATGACCAAAGATAAGTCCTTTGAAAAATATTTTGTAGAATTCTAAGGAATTAATACTAAATTGGCTACTATTGGAGTAATTATTATTGATAATGATCTTGTCCAAATTATTATGAAGATTGTCTTAGATAGTTATGACCATTTTTTTATACTGTTTCAACTTTAAGTTAATTTCATATTTGAAAAAAATAAAAGACAAATCATTTCACCAAAAAATATCTTTCATTTAGAAGCACTTTTAATTTTGTGTTGATTGATATCTAGCTCGACCTCAAAAGCAATTCCCAAGAGAATTATTTCTTTGATTTAGATTTAATACAATGCAAAAAAATAGATTATATAACTACTATGGAGCATTTGACATTAGATCTACTTATGTCAAGAAAGTCTCTCTAACATCAAAAAACTTCAAACAAATAGAAGTCTAATATTACAATAAAAGAAGATAAATTAAGCTCATATCATTAAAAGTAATTCATGGAAGAATGAAGAGGATCTCACAAATCAAAACTTATAAGTAGATCTTGTAGAAGACATTACTACCTTTGAAGTTGCCATAGTTACCAAAATATTAATGGAGAAGATTTAGACTAAAGGAGTAATTAGATAGAGGATTAATTAAACATATCTTAAGACAAAAATAATATTTTGATAGCTTAAAACAAGAAGTCATAGGAAACATTAAAATTATTAGTAGATAGTCACATTCTATTGCAAAGAACAAAGCTATTGGTTTTTAGCTTGCACAAGGATTAATAAAAAATGGTGCTTTTTATGTTCTTAAAATTAGAAAAAACCTACATTTATTAAGAACATTCATTGACTCAAGTTATATTGCTTCATTTGACACAAGTAGTTACATCTTATTAAATAAAAAGATTAAACAAATAATAATAAAAGAGATTAGAAATCCTAAGAATGACTTATACCAATTAATAATAAGAAAATCAATGATAGAAGTCAATATAACACCATCTTCAACAAAGAATTTAGTAAACATATGGTATTACCAAATGATTCACATCCATAATCAAAATTTATACAAACTATCTATTGGACTTGCCATTAGAATTTCAAATATTCTAGTGGTTCAAAAAATATATGTCCTATCAATTGGCTAAATGAGCAAAATTATTCTACTCGAATAAGAGCAATTGATGAACTACAAGGATTCCCAAATTTTTGTGTATAGACTTAGTATGGCTGATGCCAATGCTATCACTCATTAGATTGTTGTATTTCATGGTGATAATAAATGACTATAGTTATATATTATAGATAAAGTATCTTTGCAAGAAATTCAAAGCGACTAAAATTTTTGAACATTATGTACTAATCATCAAAAATCAAATAAAATAGAAGATTATTACATTATAATTTGATTGACGTAATAAATTTATTTTCAAAGCTAAGATTCAATTCTATTAAAGTTATGGAATTTGATGAGAATTTACTAGCACCAAATGCTCTTCTTAAAATAAAGTTGCTAAACAAATGAATAAGACTTTGTTTGAAAAAATACTAGCCTTTATAATTTAGATATTTTTTAGAGCAAGGCTATAAATACCATTATCTATCTTATAAATTATTCACCAACAACTACAAATTCCTATTCATAATGCCATATAAGTAATTTATAGGTAAAATTTTGTCTTTCTTTTATATTCAAGTGTTTAGATCAAAAGTATACATCCTTAAAAAACATGGTATAATAGACAAACTCTCAATGGATAAATTCTTAGAAAGATTATTCAAAGGAATACTTATTGGATTTAATGATCAAACTAAAGGCTATTGTTGTTGGATTTTCAATTAATATAAACTTATGATTTTAAGAGACATCAAATTTAATCCAAAGTACACACTCAACAATTACAATTCTAAAGAAAATTACATTTTATATAAAGAATTGTTAGTTGTTTTAGCAGTTATTCTACTAAACCACAACTTAGCATCCATTATATTCATATTATCATATAATATGGTATTGGGTGCTAAATCTCATCAAATGTATGTAATATAGTTTGGTTAGTGGTTTTTCATCCATTGATAATTTTTTTGTTAATTGACTTTGTTCATATCAATAAGAATATTGAACTAGAATGGCTATTGCTAAAAACAAGAAGACTAGAAAGTCTTGAAACAAGACTAAGGACTAAAAAGACATTGAGAAGAATGAAGAAGGCTTCACTCTTGCCTCCATATATACTCTTAATTAGGAACTATGTAGTGATGTCCTATATGACTTCCAAAATGTGTTGACTTTGCAAGACACATATCTTAACTTACGAGGCAAGTTTTCTATATGTGTGCCACATAATTAGCTTATTCCACAAGCTATCAACATGTAATTAACTTGATGACCAATTTCTAACCTACCAATCAACTACAAACACATATAAAGTCAAGCAGCATTTATGAAGCTTTTACGAAGCTTCTCTAAAAGGTCTCATTAAATTAACTTATTTTTATGTATTTTTATCTATTCCTATCTAATCATATAAGTATTTATTAAAATACCTATGTATGTCTATGATATTATCCTTCTTTCTAGGGACAAGTTCCACAAGGAGCAGTCTTTATATATTGAAGAAATTCAAGATGTGGCAAATTATATTTGCTACATATTCCAATCTTTATTCTCTTTAAAGATGGTTGATAGGCCCTCACAATCATTGATAGTATTCTATATCAAGGCAACAAGACCATTCTATTATTTTGTTGTTGTTGAGGCCTTCGTAACTTCCTTCAAA